TTTTGCATACAGCTGTATTATTTTATTCTTATTATTTTTGTGATGGCTTAGGTAATTTTAATATAATAACATTGCCTTAAAGATACCACAGGGTGTTCAATGATTATTGAATAGATAGTTTAAATTAAACAGTATGTTTATACAGACTAATTACAAATAATTAAATTAGAAGTGGTTGAAAAAATTTAAAATTTAAACTTTGATTTATTTATCCAAAATTTTAAGGTTTTTTAGAAGTTTTATCAATAATATAGATATTATTCAATCGTGTTGATGAAAGGTTGAAATGACTTTAATCCTTTGGGGGTTGACTTTTTTTTTTTAAACARCTARCATTAATTTAAATTAAATTTAAATGTTTACAAGATACATAGTAAATTTGATTAACTTTAAGATTACAAAATCATATATAATGTATTTGATATAAAACAGTTTAAGATTTTCTCAGTTAACATAGGTCCTGAGAGATAGGTACAATGTAATATAACTAGAAATCTATATGTAGTAACAAGAAAGAAAAAAAGAAGTAATAAATAAATAATGTTGTTTGACATAAATTGATTGCTTTTAGGAAAATTAATTGTACGTAATAATCCCTTCATCTGTTCTCACTTTGAACAACAACCAAAAAAAAAGTAAATAATAATAATAATAATAATAATAATAAAATAAAAAAATCGAATGACWAATAACTTACATTGTGCCAATTGTTAATAACCCATAAAGATAATTAAAAAAAAAAACATTTTATACGAAAAGGGGTCTGTAGAGCAATTTATCTCACTGAAAAAAAAATAATCAACGATTTTTCACGGTGTTTGATTATTTTTAATTTATTTAATAATGTGATRTTCAACAATTTAAATCAACATGAAGTCATAGGGATATAATGAAAAAAAATAAACGTTATCTTTGTATTATCAGCTTAAAAATTAAATTGATTACATAAGTACTCAACTAAAGAACTAATTAAAGAACTAATTAATTAATTCAAATTTAAAATTAATTTACCATTAAAAGGTATTTCTTTACATTTTTGGAAGCAATTAACCGAGTTTGGGACGGAGCTTCAGTACGAAATGAAGTATAGGTACGTACAATAATAAAGCTCGAAAAAAAATTTTAATACCATAGTATAGGTACTAGTGTGAATGGACTTTTGAATGTTGAAAATTGTGTTTCGAGAATTATCGCTTGTACGTATTAACCATTTGATTTCAACAACTTTTATTATTTTGTTATAATATTATGATGCCTATAGTATGAACTATACGTATAAATTACTGTTATTCCTTCCCCCTTTACTTCCATCTAAACGATAAAATAGGTAATTTATATAATGTATTATATTAATATGTACAACTATAAGTGGATAGTATATAGTTTTTTTTTTTTTTTAAATATATTATTTGAAATCCAATCATTAATACTATGTTCGTCGACAACTAATTCCTACGCTCCGTATAGGACGGTAAAATACCACTGTTATTGGCCGTGGAAACAGGTAACCAGTCGATGTGCCGGGAGCTGCTGTCGACCCAAGCAGTGGAACAGCTTAAATTCAAGACAAAGTCCGGGGACATGGCCATTCATTTAGCTGCCAAACGAAAAGACATAGACATGATTAAAATACTAATTGACTATGGTGCTAGCGTAGACAGTCAAAACGTAGGTACCAGTTAAAATTTTGTTTGTCGTTTGACTGT